TTTAATAAACTTCTATGTCTTTTGGCTATGCATATATTTTGGAAGAAATAAAATAGGCTAATGAAATATAAAATCAAAGTTTGTTACCAAAGAAAGGTAAGAATGTGTTGCAGCTTGACAAACTTTTATTAGAGCCTTTTCAGACTGCTCTTAAATAGTCATGATAGTGATAGCAATTGAATTAATATGGCAGCCTGTCACATATCAGGTTGAAAGGAAAGAGAGATTACAGAGGCGAGATTTCATGGCGAAGTGCAGGCTCAGTCATTTCATGTGCTACCCATTGTATTCCATCCATTCTTACACTTTATTGTGCTGCATTTCACTCTTCCTTTTTTGACTTGCAGATAAATGCATTTTATTTAATTTAGAATATATCTCCACTTGATGTCTTATTTGATGAATGTAACAATTTGTGTACCAGATTCATTGCATATGTAGGCAGGTAGGCAATGATCTTTTGAGATAGCATCTTCAGGAATATAGTGTCTAAAAGTGACAGCTAAATGTACCTGTAGTTGGATACTTTTGGTTTGGGCATTTCTAATTTTGAACTGTGAAAAAATTTAACTCTTCTAACTTACTATGAGAATTTTTGAGTGTGTATGTTGCTGAAAATGGTGTTGAGTATGAAATTATGTTGAGTATGGCTTTGAGTTGATTTTTTTTTTTACAGTTTTATTCTTGCTATGATCACTCTCATCTCCAAAGAGTTTTGTAGTAGAAAAATCTAGTATTAAAACTATAGTATTAGCCTTACCTGGTTTGGCTCAGTGGATAGAGCATTGGCCTGTGGAGTGAGGGGCTCCTGGTTCGATTCAGGTCAAGGGCATGTATTTTGATTGCTGGCACATCCCCAGTAGGTGGTATGTAGGAGTCAGCTGATTGATGTTTCCCTCTCATCAATGTTTCTAACTCTATTCCTGTCCCTTCCTCTCTGTAAAAAATCAATAAAATATATTTTTAAAAAACTATAGTATTAGGTATTTTATGTAAATTTATCTTTTGCAAGATTTCAATCTATTTCAATACTAAAGTAAAGACATGAAACTTTATGAAAAAGCCAAAGACCCTCCCCTTACTGGCATCTTAAATCTTATTAGGACTTAATCTACTTTTGAATTTATTCTGACAGTTACTTTGCTTGTAGTGAGTGTTTTTTAAAGATTAAAAACATTTTTATAAAGGGATGTGTTGAATCTCTGAGTGAATATAGAATATTTTATTTTAACACCATTCCATTCTTAATGTATTTAAACAACTCATCAAACTGAGGTACTTGCTTATACAAAGAAAATTGAAAAATGAATTTCTGTATTCTAAGAACTGCTTTTGAACTGAACTTAGGTTATATATTTAATATTAATCATTTCAGTAATAAAGTAGGACTATCTATATGATATATTTTATCTTTAAATAATAAAGTACCTCAAATAATAAAACTTCTGTGATCACATCACATAAGTTATCCACATTGTTATTTTAAGAAATAAATAAAGAGCAAATTAGAATGGATAAATAATATTAAAATCAAGTAAAATCTATAGTTATATAAATTTTAATGGAACCTAAATATTGTCATATTTTTATTAGAAGCATAATTTAGTTACATTTTTACATAGTTATTAAAATTCTTATGTATTTTTGAGACAAGACTGATCTTTGTGGTGTGTGTGTGTGTATGTATGTGTGTGTGTGTGTTTAGATAAGATGGGCCAGAAACCTCTGGAGATTTTAATAAATATAGCAAGTTGTTAAATGTATTTATTGTTTTTTTTTAAATTTTCCTAAGGTCTAGACCTTTATAAGTATGACGCTTGAAATAAATATTTCCTAGTTTACTTGAAGCTTATTAAAATTGGGAAGATTGTTATTATTTTTAAGAAATAACCCTAAAAGATACTTAGTGTCTGTTTCTTTAAAAGGAGACAATTAAAAACCCATTAAATGTTTCTGAAGTGGAATTGCCATGTACAGAACATGTGTTATAATGTCTATTGAAAAGTTTAGCAGTTTTACCTTATGAGATAAAAATCAGAGTACTTTTTATCTATCAAGTAAAAAAAATTCTGTGAACATCTCTTTCTAGCAATTGATACACTTTTCAAGAGAATTATCTGGTTTTGGCTGACACAGATACTTTCTTTTGATTTATCCTATATATTTAGATCCTCTACAGTTGAACTGATGTGTCTAGACAGGAAGTGGTATGTAGGAGATATAGGAATGGGCTGAAGTATCCTTTATATTTGCCTTTGTATCTAGGGGAGTTGGAAATAGGCAAGAATGGAGAGAAATTTTGTATGGCAGTACACAGAATTTTGCAAGTTTATTGTGAGCCCTGCAGCAATCCGATGCATTTTAGTTACTGGTAAGTTTGTTAAATTATGTTTGAAAATGTACCTCTTCGAAGATGGCCATCTATTTACTATTACATCTACCATGTCAAATATATCTATTTAAAGAATTAAAAAAAGATATGGTATTACTATTGCATTGGGTCTTAGGTATAAATGAATAATACCTTTGGTATAGTGAATGAATTTGACTTTTTAATTTTTGTCATAGTTAAAATTGAAGTGAAATTAATATTATATGGATAGTATATATTGTGTTAAGACTTTGGAAAAATAACATTAATATTTCTGGTTTTGCAATGAAAGTCTAGTGTGTTTAGAAGTCTGAGTTAATTCATTAGATGTTTGTGGAAGAGTTTTCTTTCTGACAAAAAAGAATAAAAAAATCCATGGCATCCTTGTAATTTTATATGAGTCTACGTAAGAGGAAGATTTATCATAAGAAATACTTTTTGCATTTTTAAATGGACCATAGGGACCATAGTGATGCTTTTCTGGTCTTTTTGGCAGTGCTGATGTTTAGGAATCCTAGTCGTCTTCCTCTCTAAATTACTAACTCAGATGTAGGTTAAAAATCCATGAACAGATTAGGAAATTGTGTGATCTCTATGCAATCTCTGTCTTCATTGTTTTAAACATGTAGGCAGAAGTACTTTATAACATTTCTTTAGCAGTTATTTGTGAAGTGGCTTTGACTATTGATACAATTCATTTAAAATGGACTAGATTATTTTTAATAGCTGTTCTTTTTTACAGAAATATTTAAAAATTCCGAGGAATTCCTTGGGAGTTGTGTTTTTCTTGTATATATCTAACTTTGATTTTTAGCACAGAGTAAAACAATATCATTGATTTATAATAGTAGTTTACTTGTTTTTGTGGCTTAAAGATACAGGACCAAATAATGTAATAGAATATTAATTTCCTATAATAAAGTACTTTATTTTAAATGTACTATATATTTTTTTCTAGCTGAAATCTGTTAACCTATTTATTTTTACAATAATGATAATTTTTGATAATTATTTTTATGAGAATACTTTTCTAATTTGAACAAGTATAGCCTCACTGTTAGAGAAAAATATTGTTTATAATTTTTATTGAAATCAGAAGAGCAACCCCCAGGCACAGGTAAGTGCCCATGACTCTCAAACCACGAACCCTGCTGGCCTGGGCTCTCTTGATATTATTTTACAAATGCTTTCTTTCTTTTCTTCTTTTTTTTTTTTTTTTTTTTTTTTTAAATAACTCCAAAGAATATAATAACTTTAGATTATTTGGGGGCCTTAGTAATTTTCAAGTTTACCTCATTACCAGATTTTCTTAATTTCTTTTAGGAATGAGTACTTGTGTGTTAAAATATATTTAGAAATTTGAGGCTTTACCCATGCTTGTGTATATTAATAGGGAATTTAGGGTCCTTGTAAAGAACTTTGAAGTAGATATTATTTTAATAGGTGGTAAAGTCTGGCTTATAGTCATTTATTACTATAAATTATGATAACATATAAATAGAAATGCTGTCATGTATGAATGCTGCTGTTTGAAAATTGTTTTATGTAATTTTCTCACTATATTACCACAGCTTAATAAATCGCAATACTTTCTTTTTCTTTTGTTCATTCAGTTACCACATCAAGTATTTTATGTTTGTCTGGCACATATCTGTATGTGCTTTTATGTATTGTATATACATTGTGTTACTGTCACTTTTCATTTTAATATCACATAAATCATTTATTTTCTCTGCTCTCATGAACTTTCCTGAGGGCATATAGGGCCATAAGTAACATGTTTCATGTGTCTCTGGATATATATTTTTATTGACCCTTACTCAGAAGTAAGGATGTTTTTTCCATTAATTTTATTTATGTATTTATTTATTTTAGAGAGAGTGGAAGGAAGGGTGAGTGGAGAGAGAGAGATAAACATCAGTGAGAAAGAGACACATCCATTGGTTGGCTGCCTCCCTCATGCACCCTGACTAAGGACAGGAGGGGGTTGTGGGAGTGGGGGCTTGGGGAGTGGTTAAACCTGCAACCTTCAGGTAGGTCTGGTAGGTGATAATGACCAATAGTTGAACCTGTGATCCTCTAGTGTGCAGGCTGATGCTCTAACCATTGAATGAATCCTGCTGGCCAGGACTCTCTGGATATTTTTTTTTTAAAAGTAATTTAAAAAAATAGATCTCAATGAAAGGGTTACTTAAAAAATCAATGTGTTTTTCCAAAACAATCTTATATACCTATTTAAAATTGTCTAAGCTAGCACGTTCTTTAAAGATATGATAAAGTCTTTATTATGAGGAAGTGACATATTTTGGAGTGTGTTTCTTATATGTTAAATTTATTTGAAATGGAATATATATATGTATATAGGTAAACTTAGATGTTTTGCATTGGAACATAAAAAATATACACAGTTCTTTGTTGACTTACAGTATTTAATTTTAAATAAGTGAATCTAGTTTTCTCATGTTTATAAGAAATATATTATTGCATAACATAAGGTATAATAATAATAATTTTCAGCAAAACAGATTTGATTTAAATGTGGTTATCTTTTTCATAAAAATATTGAAATTGAACTCTGTTTATAATCAACAGTTGACGATTATATAATGAAATTATCTGTACTTTGCAGTGCTACTCTTTTGGCTTTCCTGGTTGAACTCCTTAAAAGTTCAGTAGCCATGCAAGAACAGATGCTGGGTGGAAAAGGCTTTTTAGTCATTGGCTACTTACTTGAAAAGGTAAGTGATATGTAATGATTTTATTGTGTAGCCTTCAAAGCTGGACAACTGACACTCACTAATTATAGTTTTTCTATAGTTTCCTTTTCCATTAACTATACAGAGACTATATTTTAGGCTAATTCATAAGCATTTTTATATTATACACCTAGATGTAAGTGTAGTCATTGCACTAAGTTAGGTTAGAAATTTATATAATTAAGAAATTCTGAGTAAAAATAGAAACTAAAAAAGATATTTCATCTGCTTTTCTTCAAAGTTATACGTTCTTAATTCTTTTTTAATTATGGAAACTTTTTTTTAATATCTTGATTATTGATAATTACCTAGATTTATCTGAAATTACATTTTACATAAATGAGATTCTATAAAATGTCTTTGCCATATAACTGCACATGACACAGTCACTATCAGGAGATACCCCTTACATAAACATAAACTTGTCATTTATTTACTAATGATGTTTTATTAGCATAATCTTAAAGTGAGCTTTTTTTTTTTTTATCCTAACCCACGGAAATTTTTCCATTGACTATTAGAGAGAGTGGAAGAGAGAGAGAAAGACAGAGAGAAACATCCATGTGAAAGAGACACATTGATTAGTTGCCTCCTACATGAGCTCTGACCAGGGCCTGGGCCAGGGAGGAGCCTGCATCCAAGGTATGTGCCCTTGAATGGAATCAACCCCAGGACCTTTTGGTCCACAGGCCTACACTCTATACACTGAGCAAAACGGGCTAGGACTAAAGTGAGCATTTTTTTACACTAAAACTTAGTTTAAATCAGAAATATTGTGAAAACACTTCAAATCAAATAAGTAGAATTCAGTACTTTCTCAGAATTAATGTCCTTAATATTATACTGTCAATTTAGTGGATAAAAATATTTTCTTATGGTTTTTATTTATAATTTTGAAAAAAAAATATATATGTGTGTGTGTGTGTGTGTGTGTGTGTGTGTGTAAATACATATATATGTAAATACATTTATATTTATTGGATATCCTTTGTTTCTCTTCTATGAATGCTTATTTATTCCTTTGCCAATTTTCCACATTACCTTCAAGACCCCTACTCCTAGGCAGTCTGTAATCTACTTTTTGTCTCTGTGATCTTATGTATTATATATATTTCTTGTAAGTGGAATCATATAGCAGTTGTCCTTTTGTAAATGGCTTATTTCACTAAGCATAATTTTTACAAAATTCCTTGTTGTAGCATATATCAGAACTTCATTTCTTTTTGTGACTTAACAGAATTCCATCATATGTGTTTATTGCATTTTCTTTATTCACCTGTCAATGGGCATTTGTATTGTTTCTATCTTTTGGATCCTATAACTAGACGCCCGGGCATGAAGTCCGTGCATGGGGGTGTGTGTCCCTCAACCCAGCCTGCACCCTCTCCAAACTGGGACCCCTTGAGGGATGTCCAACTGCCCATTTAGGCCCAATTCTGGTAGGATCGGGATCCTAACAGCTGGCTCCCAGCTGCTTGCCTACCAGCTTGATCACCCCCTAACCACTTCCCTGCCAGCTTGATTGATGCCTAACTGCTCCCTTGCCAGCCTGATTGTCCCTAACTTCCCTATCCTGCACACCAGGTTCCTCCCAAATGCCCTACCCTAATGGCCTGGATCCTCCCTCCCCCAACTGCCCTCCTCTGCTGGCATTATCGTTCACAACTGCCCTCTCCTGCTGGACTGATCCCTCCCAACTGCCCTCCCCTGCTGGCCATCTTATGGTGGCCATCTTGTGTCCACATGGGGGCAACCATATTTTATGTGTTGGATTGATGGTCAATTTGCATATTATTCTTTTATTAGATAGGATTCTTTATTAGATGGATGATTTCCAAAGGTAGTATTCCATTCTGTAGATCACTTTGTGTTATCATTTGAATTTCTCCGATAGCAAATTAAATTTAGCCCTTTCATATTTTTATTATCTTTTTTGTTATCTTCTTTCATTAAAATCTGCAGTGTTTGCCCTTTTTCATTTGGATTTTCTGTCATTTTCTTACTAAGTTGTGGAACTTCTGTATATATCCCAGATATGACTCCTTTGTTGATAATGTATTGCAAATATTTCTTCCTCTGTAGCTTGTCTATCACTCCCTTAATGGTATTTTTTAATGAACAAAAGTCCTTAACTTTAATATATGTCAAGTTTTCATTTTCTTTTATGATTAACCCATTTTGGATTCTTATGTATGCCAGAGCCATAAAACTCAAAATTATGTTTTAGTTTTCATATTTAGATTTATAGTCAACCTTCAGTTGCATTTTGTATATGGTATGAACTATAAAGGGCAAAATTTATTTCTTTCTCTCTCTTTAGATATGTATCCTATATAATAAAAGCCTAGGTGGTGTCACATGACATCATCATAAGATCGCCACCACAAGATGGTCAGAAGGGGAAGGCAATTGAGGGTGACCAGGCCTGCAGGGGGGAGGGCAGTTAGGGGCGACCAGGACTACATGGGAGGGCAGTTGGGGGCGACCAGGCTATCAGGGGAGGGCAGTTGGGGGTTATCAGGCCAGCAGGGGAGTGTAGTTGGGAGCCATCAGGCTGTCAGAAGAGGGCTGTTGGGAGTGAGATCAGGCCATCAGGGGAGTGCAGTTGGGGGCTTTCAGGCTGGTAGGGAGGGCAGTTAGGCATCAATCAAGCCAGCTTGGGAACTGTTAGGGGGCGATCATGCTGGCAGGCAGAAGTGCTTAGGAGCCAGTGGTCCCAGAGGGATGTCTGACTGCCAGTTTAGGCCGATCCCACAGTGTTAACTGGCAATCGGATATCCCCTGAGGGTTCTCAGATTAGAGAGGGTGCAGGCTGGGTTGAGGGACACCCCGCTCCCCATGCAAGAATTTAGTGCACTGGGCCTCTAGTATGTAAATAAATAGGTAACTGGGTGACTATGTGTAGTCATTTCCAAAATCTTACTATTGTGTTTTTGTTTTTTTTTTCTTTTTCTTATCTTTGATGTAGTACAACATTATCTTGATACCTCATAGTGTGCCATCTAGTTTTATTTTTCTTCAAAATTGCTTTGACTATTCTTGGTCTCTGAACAAGCATATATATCAGCCTTTCAATTTTCACACACAAAAATTTTTTCTAGGATTTTTATTGTATTATGTTGATTTTTATATTGAATCTTTCAATTCATACACTTCTTATGTCGTTCTGTTTATGAGTCTTGATTTCTGTGTAGAAAAATTTTTGCTAGATAGTTGATTTTTTTCCTATAGTTGAAGTTTTTATAAATTTCCTTTTTTTTTTTTTAAATTTGTCGTTGGTATGTAGAAATATAATTGGTCTTTGTATTGATCTTTTATATATTGATCTTGCTATTACTCTAGTAAACTTAGTAGTTTGTAGATTTTTTATATTTCTGTTAAAGCCCTAACCAGTTTCGCTCAGTGGATAGAGCATCAACCTGTGGCCTGAAGGGTCCCAGGTTCGATTCCTGTCAAAGGCATGTTCCTTGTTTGCGGGCACATCCCCAGTAAGGATGACAGTTCGATGTTTCTCTCTCATCAATGTTTCTAACTCTCTATCCTTCTCCCTTCCTCTCTGTAAAAAATAAAAAAAAATTATGAAATTAAAAAAAATCAGTTAAAAGTTATATATCTGTGAGTGAGAACTTTTTTTCTTTCTAATACTTTTAATGCCTCCCCTCCCTTTGACTAACTGTATTATCTAAGACATTCAGTATAGTGTCAAATAGAGGTTGTAATGGTGGGCATTCCTAACTTATTTCAGATTTCATGGGCAAAGATTTCAATAATTTTCTACTAAGTAAGATTAGTAGGCTATAAATTACATTTTAATTAAGAAACTATTTCAAGTTTGCTAAGAGTTTTCTTTACCAAAAACAAGTACTGAATTTTATTAAGTGCCTTTTTTGCATTATTTGAGATAGTTATAATGTTCCTTCTTTGTTTTATTAGTTTAGTGAATTATATTGATTTTCAAATGTAAAACCATTCTTATATTCCTGGAATCCTGTCTAGTCTTAAATTCATTCTCATTCCAACCAGTTTTCATCTCTTTACTTCCATTAAAATGTCTATGTGTCACCCTTAGGCTTCATGTTCTTACTTTATGATTCTCAGTTTACATCTTACTTGCCCTTTCAATAATATTTCAGTTTAACATTCTTGCCTTGAAATTCTTTCTTCAATTGTATTTTGTGACAGTATTCTTTGTTTCTTCTTACTTCTTTGAACTTTTTTTTTATTCTCTCTCTGTAGTTCCTCCCCTTGCTTCTAAATTCTAAAGATTGTACTATCTTGTTATCTAATCCTGGAAACCTTTTTACTTTTCTGTTTACATATAATTGAGTTTATCATTCCCTTAACTTTTATTATCCTGTAAATACTACATATTCTCAAATACATATCTCAAACCACAATCTTTTCTTTGACTGCTAGTCTCTCATATTCAGGTCCAGATGGATGTCTAATAAGCTTCATAAATATAAATTATCCAAACTTACTTTTTGTTTTCCTCTCTAAACTTTAATCCTTCACTCTTCTCTTAGTTAAGAACAACACCATTGAAGAAGTACTTCAGAACAAAAATGTTAATCCCTTTTTTAAGAGCATTTTCTTTTTAAATATATATTTATTTTTATTGTTATTGATTTCAGAGCAGAGGAGAGAGGGAGAGATAGAGACATCAGTGATGAGAGAGAACTAATGATTGGCTGCCTTCTGCATGCCCTCTACTGGGCCTGCAGTGAGCCTGCAAACTGGCCATTTTCCCTTGACCAGAATCAAACTTGGGACCATTCAGTCTGTAGGCTGATACTCTATCCACTGTGCCAAACTGGCTAGGGAAGTGGTTGGCAAGCCAAATATCAACAGTACAACGATTGAAATTTCTTTTGAGAGTCAAATTTTTTAATCTTAAACTTTTTCTAATGCTATTTCTTCAAAATAAACTTGCCCAGGCTGTGGTATTTTGTGGAAGAGCCACATTCAAGGGGCCAAAGAGC